GCAGCAGAGTAATGTTTTAGGACCAACTGCGATGATCAGTCTACAGCAGAGGTAGGAAGCTGCCTCTCTTTTCTAGCTTGCTAACAGTTATAGATGCAGGACAATAAGGGGAGGCTACCGTATGGATTCCTGTAAGATCAACTCCACAAAAAATGCAAAGGTGACTACCTCTGGAGGAGGCAACAGAAATTAGATCCCTCAGCAAGAGTTAGCATTTAAATACCAAATGCCATAACAATTTCATACAAACCAAAAAAGGAACCAGCAGGTAAAAAGGCAACAGATACCTACTCTTGCTCCATTGCCCTGCAGGAAAAAAGGGTTCTGAGGTCTACAGACAAAATTCAGCAGCTCCACGGGTAACTTTATCACTGTTCACAGATCTAATTGACCAGGTAGAAAGAGTAGTTTATGATATCTCTGAAAGTTCAAAAAAAGAAGTGAATGTTACATCAGGAATGTAACATGAAAATTATAGCAATGCGTAGCACATTGCACTATGCTGATTACACTTCTCTGGTTTTAAAACTCAAATATAATTAGATCACCTCATATTATATGGTTCACTAAACTAACATTCAGTGGATATGTTTGGGGACAGAATGCTGATGAAAAATAAGGATTGTTTATGTGCCTATAAATTAGAGAAGAGCCAACTTCCTGTGTTGTGTCCACACATTAACAAATCCACCATAAACCACTTGAAAACTGAAGTTCATTGTACCATGGCCTATGACAACGAGCTTCTGAGAATGTAAAATCAGAAGACCAAATGGTTTTTCCTATCCACATCTGTAATATTTTAATATGGAGAATGGGCAACTGCTAGTTATTACTGCATGAGACAGCTTTAACATCTGCTTGAGCTTTTTATGTTCACTAGCTGTTAGTTTCTATTCTGGTAGGGATTTTTTAAATTATGGGTTAGACTGACCATGTAATAGAATAACTTAATTTCATGCTGTGCTAGAGTTCAACCGCAATCTTCTTTCAGAAGACACGTCTTACTGAGTGTGAAGCCCCCTCAGCCCTTTTGTCCTCTAGTTCCTTTGTTGCTTCCTTCCTTTAATAGGGAAAGGTTTGGATAATAAGCAGTTTTATGGGTTTTGTCAACAAGTGACAGGAAAAGAAGGTCAAGAGATGTATAGGGCCTTTTCCTGGTCTCACACCTAATTACAAAACATCACACTGTTAGTAATATTCAGCACATCTAACAGAACTGCATCACGTATAATCTTATTTTCAAAGCTATACTTACATGTGAAGTAAAGGTCTGATCTTTGCAGCATGACTACTTTACTTCTCTGACAATTTCTTCCCCATCTTGTCTGACCCACTTTGACCCTATTTTCAAAACATGTTACAGAGTATCTTGTATCTCTTATTCTGTAAGCTTATTCTGTACAGCTAAAGACAACTGTAGTTGGTAAATAAGGTTTAATAGTTATTTTCCATATCCTCGTGTAACTGAAACTGCTTTGCAGAAGTACAACCTACAGAGTTCAAAAAAAGTGTCAAGACGTGTGAATTGAAAAATTAGCAATGCAGAATTGAGAGAGCCATTTCTCTAACAGGTAAGTAAAACTGGGTGTTAATTTATATACGCTGTGCAGAAAATTGGACTGTGGAGTGCCAGGTTTCAGACTGATGTACAGGGCTACATGCAGTCTTGGAGTATATGGGGAAAAATAAAACTGATCAACTGTAATTAAGGGAAGAACACAAACTATCTATGCATACGTTCAGTTGAAGAGTATGATCCCCCTCATTCTCAGGGGGAAAAAAAAAAAATCTGTCTCCAGGCAAAAGTGAAACAGAGAAAGCAGAATAGTTAAGTTATGTTTCCTGTAACACTTTTTTCCATTCACTTTCTTCTCACTAGCTAGCATTTCTCATTATCTTTGCAACTGGAGAAAAAGTTCTTTCCTTAGAAGTCATTATGATGATCGTCCTGGAAGAAGGGCTATAAATGAGTCTCTCAATTTCTCAAGTAATACCTTAAATGAATGTTTTATGACTGTTTTTGCTACTTCAAAACATCACCTTTTGGGAACTTGGAGCTTCAAATATTACTAAGCCCATTTATGAAAATGTGTAAGTACATATCCTCCACTCAGAAAGAACCAGAAGAACCATATATCACATTAGTCTAATACAGTTAATGTAATATATCCTCTGGGCAGCTACAGAGCAGTTGGATTATGCCAGTCATTACCATTTGTAATTTATGGGTTTTTTTAAACCACTCCACACTAGTGATATTGTTGGAACAATACTCATTTCAAGTCTTATGAAATGAGTATTTGAACTGCACTGCTTAAGTACAGAACAGAGTGCCCAGATCTCCCAGTATTCAAATTCCTTCCTGTAAAGTTTTCCTGCAGAATTTGAAAACTTACACAACATCATACATATGCTAGTGAAGCAAAAAGCTGTTTTGTTTTCGGGTGTTTTTTTGAATTTAAATTTTAAGTTAACTTACTACAAATAATTAAGCCGTAGAATGGAAGAAAATTAATTACACACACCCTCTAATCTCTCTCTTATGCTCTGGACATCTGGCAGTCCACCTTAGCAATTATTCTGGCACAATAGAATCAAACCTGGCAAAGAAGGCACTCGGTGCTGCGGATATGAAATCCACTCCTGTTATGTTTGAGGGTGTTTACTGTGGACTACCTCTAAGCTGGTCCTGCAGACTGAATGTTCATTCATGGCTCTAACGCATCTTCTAGCTTAGCTTCAAAAGAATCCAAGTTTGTGTGCTCCAAGACTGCCCTGCAACAGAAACTAAAACTTAGCAAGTGGAAAACAAGTGGAAAAAACTGATTTACTCCAAAAGCCAGTGTTTTAATAAAACTAAAATGCAAAACTAGGTTCAGTCCCCAATTTCCCTATTTGAATGGACCAGAATTACATACTTGCTATGAGGAACTGACATAGCAGGATATGTATGACTCCTTAGATTATGATATGGTTTCTAAAATTCCAGACTAAAGCAAGAGATTGAGAAACGGATTGATCACATACCTGCAAACTTGGTCATTTTATAATCAGTGAAATTCCCCCACTTATAAAAAAATTACAAAGCCAGTTCACCAGCACAAAACAAAACTTCATACTTTTGAGGACAGAAAGTAAATGGTGTATTTGCTAGAAACAGCAGCTTTTACAAAGGTAGAATTTAATTTCTGATCCGAGTAGTAAGTCACTGGCTCAAGAAGGGCAAGGGGGAGGACAGGGAAACAATAGGCCAGGCAGCCTAACCTTGACCCTGGGAAGGTTACATAGCTCCCCTGGGAACTTCATGAAAGACAAGGCTACTAGGAACAGGCAGCACGATTTTACCATGGGCAAATCATGCCTGACCAACCTGACTGCCTCTACAGTGAGATGGCTGACCCTGTGGACACAGGAAGAGCAATGGATGTTGCACACCTTGATTTTTAGTGAGGCCTTTGACAAGGTTTCCCCCAGTATCCAGGCACATCAGTGACATATAGTTCACACGAGTGGAATATCAACTAGGTGGAAAACTAGCTGGTCCACCAGACTCAAATGGTTGTGATCGCAGTATGAAGTCCAGCTAGTGGTAAAGTAATCAGTAGCATTCATGAAGGGGTCAGTACTGAAGTCAACGCTCTTTAATGTCTTTATTACTGACCTGGACAATGGGAAGACAAGCCACTCACAACAAGCACACAGATTTTAGCTAATTGCGGGAACAAATTATATACTGGAGGGCATAACTGCCAGAGGGACCTCAGCAGACTAAGAAACAGGTTGACAGGAATCTCATTAAGTTCCAAGGCAAATGTGAAGTCCATTACTCAGGATGGAATAAGCCCATACAACAGTACAGAGTGGGTGCTGACTAGCTAGAAAACAGCTCTGCAGAAAACAAAATGATGGTCCCACTAGACCATCATGAAACAACAGCACAACCTTGCAGCAAAGGCAAACTGCCCCATGGGCTGCATCAGTAAACATATAGCCAGCAGGTAACCGAAGAGATGATTCCCCTGCACTTTGTACTTGTGAGACCGTTGTCTGGATTAGTGTGTTCAGTACAAGAAACCATTGACATACTGAAGTGAGCCAAACTGGGAGCCATCATTCACATATGACATACAAGGAGAAAGACAAAGAGGGTTCTTTCTGGGTTTGTCAGCCTTAGAAGGGCAAGGGCAGAATCTTCTAGTTGTTTTCCATGAGAGAGTGGTGAAAACACTATTCTCAGAGGGGCACAGTAACAGGATTAGGCTAGGTAATGCACACAAGTTGCAGCAAAGGAAATTCCAATTAGATAAAAAAAATTGTTCACCATGGGAAGAATTAAACACTGGAATAGGGGAACAGAGAGGCTGTGGAATCTCCACCCAGGAGATGTTCAAATCAAAGCCTGGAGCAATCTGATCAAATTGGATCTGTTTACAGCAGGGGACCGGACAAAGTTATCTCTAGAGGGTCCTTCCAAACTAAATTCCTCTGTAACTTTAGTAGCACAACAACTTGTATTAAAAACAAAGATCCAAGGTGTCTCATGGCCATGGACATACACTGCCAACTGGAAAAGTTCCACCAGCTGAACAGAGATTAGTGTCCTTCATCCTCTCCTTTTGTTCTTGTTGCACTGCTTTGCCATGATCTGATCAGAACAGATTTTCATAGCCTGCATGAGGCAGGCTAGAATAAATACCTCTTGGGTGATAATAAGCAGCTCGAGATGGGGTAGAGGGTAAAATCTTCAAACTAGCAGTCAGATCCACAAAAGGATATAGGCTATGGCTTTACCATTTGTCAGATTACAAATCCATATACTGTGGGTATGCGCCTCCCAGGTGGGCTGCTCAATCAAGAGGGAAGAGAGGTTACCTCATGAATTAACACCAGGCTGCAGCCTCTGAAAGAGACCTCAAGGCTCAGCTTGACCAAAGCTTGAAGAAAACATGGAAGTTGCATGTCAGACTTGTGCAATGATACAATTGAACAGACTATCAGATGGCTAAAATTATTTATTTATCATTCACTTTGAAGGCAGAAACTGAAATCATCATAACAATCAACTTGAGCATCTTGTCAACTAAATAACTAAGAACTGAAGCAAACTTATATGGTGTCAGGCTCAAAGGGATAGGATTCATCCCACACCTCAGCCAATGGAAAATGAATTACTCAGACAAGTTAGTTCCTACAGCTTTTTTTTTTTTTAAAGTCAAAAAGGCAACGTATAGAGGGATCAACTGCTTTCAGAAGTTGTCTAACCCTCTTCATTTACTAGAAGAGCTCATAGTGAAGTTGCTAAGGTCAGGTGACATCAGTCATACCTAGAACGAGTATTTTAAAGAACCATTCAAATTAAAAAAAAAAAGAAATATGCATATTTCACTATGATTCCTCTTCACTACATTCTTCAATCTCAACATCCTTTGGTGGCATTTTGGTCTTCTAACTCCCAGAAAGAATCTCAGACTACTTACCTACTCAAGGAACACAACAGGAGAGAAAAGAGACAGAGAGAAAAGAGACAGTGATGAATAAAGAAAAAATAGTCGACTTTTTATTAGCACTTCAACAATTACCTGGTGTTCCATGGTAAAGCACAGTTTTAAAGACAACACTGGTACCTCTGATCCAACATAACAGTATGAGGTTTTTTTCAAATACAAAGGAAAAGCTAAGTCTTGTATTAGCTACTTATAAGCAGAGACATGTTGCATACTGCAGTTAGATAATTCAAGTTTGACAAGACAAAAATTAATACTTTAGGATGTTAAATCCCTTCAAATCCCTTTTTTGCTTGGCTGGGAGGAAGAGAGAGAGAAGATCATTTCCTTGTCTTTCCCCTTCTCCCATTTACCTCCTATTTTTTGCAGACCTAAAATAAAAGTTGAATACAATGAAATCAAGAGGCCATACATGCTACATTCAGATATAGCTGCCACAATGTTTTAAATTAAAATTTAATTACAAGTCTTTTCCTGCAGTGTACAACATATTAATGCTTACACGATAATTTTTATTTCAAATTATAGAAGAGATTTGCAAAAAGGGTAGCTTTTTTCATATATAAAGGGTAGCTTTTTTCATATACTGTTACATTTCTTAATGCATTACCTGTTCAAAGTCTGTGTTTTAAGTGATCTTTACATAAAAACAGAGGTAGCTAAGTAGAAATACTATATTTTATATGAGGTCTCTATACATGGTGTAAAAAAAAAAGTGCTATCAATCAAGATGCATTAATTTCAAGACTTACTTCATAATCGTTTGTCTTCCCCAGATATGAATGCTTTCTAACACAAATACAGCTATTTCTATTTAGCCTTCGTCACCATGGACAGTTGCCACATCATTATGGAAACATGATAAATTCATTTTATTAGGCAAATATTTGAGTTCCACTCAAGTACACTTAACATAATAAAACCAAAACAGCAATTGATGTCATAATTTAATTCTTTGCTGAACTTATTATGGGAATTTAACAGTGCTTTTAATTAGATCAGGGAGAAGTCAAATAATCAAAAAAATGGATTTTAAGTTTAGTATGTTTCTGTGCTGTTCAAACAATAGCTTATTTATTTAGAAAAATTCTAATAAACTCCAGCATCTTAAATATGTTCAAAAGTGCCTTTTCCAGCATCACAAGAATGTTAATTAAGAAAGCATCACTAAATTTTGAAGTAGCAAATACAGTTAAAAGTCTAAATGAACATAAACTGAAACACTGTGGTCCAAATTCTGTGAACAGATCAGGTATGCAAGATGTTCTGCCTGTGCAGAACTGGACCATATTTTTCCTCTGACACTTAAAAAGGCAATGACTGGAAAAGATGGAGAATTTAGCAGCTGCTTAAAACATTTAAGCAGTGCAAGTAAGTGTACGTTTCCTTGTCAGGCTTGAAGATCACTTGGTAGGTCCCTGAAATCCTGTGTTTCACTTTACATAGTGTAAGTGGGCACTACAAAGAAGTGGAACTGTATTTTAAAGAGAAGTAACTTTCCTAAAATGTTCCTGATTCACAGCATCCATACAATCTACAAAACAGTTCAATTTTTCTATAGAGATTTAACAGAACATTATTTTTAGAATCTCAAATCATTCAAGCATCTATTTGCATCTGCTTGCATCTGTTTGTAATTTTGCTTTAAGTTTTGATGAAATAAATAGTTGTTTTGTCCATACTGGCCAAAGAACAGCTTTGATGATAAGACAGAATACAATTCTGGCACAGTATTTTTTAGTGAATTTCCATGACAGAAGTACAGACAGTTAGGAGGAGGAAGCCAATAACTACTTAAAGATGACCATGAGTTATTAGTTCCTGCTGCTAACAGCTCAATGTTAACCTTAAAAAGCACATTTTCGTTCTTTAATGCATTGCCTCATGGGGGATTTAGTCTGAAGGGCTAATGTGCCCATCCTTTCTACATTCCCTGACTGAACTACATCTCCTAGGAGTCAATGCAGTCTTCTCCAAATGCCAGCTGCATTATGACAGTAAGAGATTCTTCTAACTCTTGTTTTCCATGACTTCTGTGACAAAACTGTAGTCGCAATCATGAGTGGAATACAAATCAGTATTTAGCCTTGATATGATTCCCTGACTTTGGCCTGCAGGGCATCACAAGTCTTCTTAGCATCTCCCAACAACATGGCAGTATTGGGTTTGTAGAAGATTGGATTGTCCACCGCTGCATAACCAACTCCCAAAGATCTCTTCATTACAATAACCTGCACATAAAAAGTTCATGTTTGAAACAGCAAAAACCAACCACCATCCCCCCCACAAACAAAGACAACACAAAACCAACCTCCACAAACAAGGGGAGAAGAAGAGAGAGATCCCTGGCCAAAACAGGGTGCTCACTGCTACAAAACTGCATTTCAAATTTTAATATAGCAGACAAACTGATACCTGGACCAGTTTCAGAAACATTTTATTGTTAAACACAACGTTACATGTCAGATGAAGAAATTGTGGATACTCACTACACATGCATATGCTTTTACTTCATTCCATGTAATAAAGTCAAAGCAAGATGGGTACTGATGATTGTAATATAGGAGGGTTTTGAGGCTTTTTTATTTTTGAACTATTTTAAGAACCCAATTCCCCGACAGCAGCACAATTGAGATGAGCATTCACATCAATACTTGGTGCAATGCTCTCTGGTACTTCTCCAGACTATTACTCTGTATTACTTCATACATGGGATTTTAAAAAAAAAAATCCTAAAATAAATTTCAACCAGTTTTAGCTATTAAATGTCAAACTGGTTAACCACGGCACCTTCAGCAGAGAAACTGTGTGAAGCTTTACCACCTTTAACCCTGTACATGTTTATTTCTCAAACTGCAACACATAGCTACACACAAACACTGATAAATGTATGGGCCTGTGACTGAGTACTTGAATGAAGTCAATACAGAAGAACTGAGGCTATGATTGGGTTCAGAACAAGAGATCGAAGATTTCACATCAAGGAAACTCAAGTATATGTACTTTAGATCAGACAATGTTGCTTTCAAAGAGCAAAACTGGTGAGCTAACTAAACTGTTAGTTCAATCTGGACAGACTAAGCTCTCTACTCAACCCAGCCACTCATTGTTTGGGTTTTTTTTTCCATTTAAGCATATTATTCATTTTTGTGTTTCCACCTCAATATTAAAGCTGTCAATCAAATTTCATATAAACTTAAAAAAGCAGGTATTTGTACAGAAATACTTCAGGGCTGCAGACATCAGCAGAACATAATTTATTCTAATCACATTTTTTAGTAGAAGCACTTTCATTGGTCTTTTCTACTGCAGTCATCATTAGTCTCACTAAAGCACTTGCTGATAACTATAAAATCATGAACAGTGCATCCCACTTGCAAAGTACTGACTGTTTTGTTGGACACCTTGCAGAAAAGCTTCTCATGGAAACCAGAAGAGAAGAATAATCTTGTTAGCTTATCCTATAAACCATGTTTTTAAAAGCATGCTAGCTAAGGTAGGTGCTAACGCAACTCTGTTAGTCTCACCTGTTTGGACTTCCAGACCTCAAGAACTGGCATTCCAGCTATGATAGAGTTCGGATCTTCCTGAGCTGCTGAATTAACTGTATCATTTGCACCAATTACAAGGACCAAGTCAGTTTCTGCAGCAAGACAAGGAAAATAAAACTGATGAAAAATTATCTGAAACCTGAACATTGAGGCTGACGTACATTTTTGTGTTAAATCTCATCTTTAGAGGCAGAAGAACCCCTTATGGTAAGCACTCTACAAACATTTATGGGGACTTCATTCACAAATATCTTACAAACTTATCAGGCATGTTATACGTGAGAGTCCAAGTGTGCTACCAACTACCTCCAGCAAACTGCAAGCACCTACAACCCCATTCAAAGGGACTCATTAGACCACTCTGCTACACAAAATTTAAATCCTTTGATATTTAAATGTGGTTTCATACATGCATAGTATCATCACCTTCAAATTTCTTTGTGCCTGTCTTTTCCTTTGAATATTCTTTTGAAAAACCTTTTACCAGCAACTTTCTGATTTTTAAATAAAGATATAAGAAAGCAAGAGGCTGTCTGTACAATACTATACTGGTTTGCCAGACATGACAGGGTCACGTAATCCACAACACCTGACCTAAAGAAGTAACAGTAGTTTTCCTGTATGGAGCAGTAACAGTGATAAAAGAGACAGCATTTGTCATTTATTTCACAGCTACAAGCAATTTAAAAAAACTGTTCTTTTGGTTCTGGAGGAAACAAGTTTCACAGGCCTATTTAACCTCCCTTCAATATCTACTCTTTTCTGTACTCCTGCATTCAGTATTTTGCTTTGCTTTACCTGTCTGTATTCTCTGCTTCTCAGTTTTCTGCTTCTGAGTCAGACTATTTCTCATATTCCTCTGTGCTCATTTGCCATCAGCTGGGACAGCACTCAGATTGCAAGAGAAAGACCTCTGCTCCTCTACAGTGGTATCACAACAGGCACAAAGAGAAATTGAATGGCCTCACTGAAATCTTCTATTTTTAAAATCCTTGCATGATGTAAAAACAGAATCGAATAAAAATTGAGAAGATCAAATCCAATCTACTGGAAACCTATAGCTCGCACGCTAACCTGGGAAATCTTCGTTGATCTCATCCATTTCCAGTACAATATCATACGGAACACCAGCTTCTGCTAGGAGTACGTTCAGCTGACCAGGCATACGGCCAGCCACAGGGTGAATACCAAACCTAACAGAAAAGAAAGTCCAATCCCATTAATACGTACTGACCACTCTGTTTTACACAGTAAAATTGCCACCTGTGACCTACAAGGCTGAGAAGTTCTTAAGTATAAGCACACATGTGAATAAAAAGAAATGGTTAAACCTTAACAATATTGTAACTACTTTTCCAGTGTTGCAGGGAACCAAGTGGGTGGGAAAGGGAACAAGGCCCGTAGATTTGACTCTTAACCTGGAGAGCAGCTGTTCCTTTTCTGCAAAGTTAAAAGTATGACTGACCCAACAGGTATGCAAAAGAATATGCTCATTTCCCAGTAAAACTACAGAAGCTAGAAGTACATTTTCAATACTTCCATCACAGGAAGACTCTTTCAGAAAGTTGTTGCACCTGCGAAGTGGCTTTGGAGAGCCTGCTGGACACTTCTAGTGACAACACAGAAGGAACTCGTGGCCAGAAACGTCTGGGAACACATCACTACAAGATGGACCAACAGAGTAAGTTTTCTACCCAGCAAGAGCTTATACCAACAAGATTTTCTTCAATTACTTTTGAAAGTAATAGGAGTATTTTACCATTTTATCTGGCTACAATCATCAGCCTGAGCCACATCACACACAGCAAGCATTCACGTCCACCTTCCAAGCAGTACCATATTTAAAGCCTTGTGACAGATACCTTTGTTTTTTTATGAATAAACCTTTTTGCTGCAAAACCACCACCCACATCAATATGCTTTGCAGGTCCCTTACATCAATGAAAAGTGAAAGCACCACAGAGTAAGTGAACCGGCCACAATATAACACTCTTCACGAAGAGGCCAAAAGACTGTGCAGCCTTCCGGAAGCAAAACCACTCCTAGACCCAGAAATGCCCTTGGCAAATGAACTTATTGACTGAGGTATCTCTAGAGTATGCATGATTATCACAGTCTAACACTCCAACAAAAAAAAATAGCAGGAACTCTACTTCAAGCACAAGACAATGCTTTGCTGAATTAGGTTAACATGCCACTTCTCATGACTGATCTTAGGAGGAAAGTAAAAAAAGGAGGGGGAGTGAGAAGGTGCAGAGCTAAGAAGCTATACCAGTTTAAGCATAACAATTTAAGAAATGTTTTCAGAACAGCTCAAAACCAACTTAGAGAAAGTACACTGCTTATGAGTTACTAAAAATTCAGACACACAGGGTGGAGGTGGGGGGTGTTAAGGCATGCAGGCAGTTCTGTAAGAGTAAAAACCTGACAAAATTCAGAATGGAGATGTTAAACTGGTTTAGCTGCAACTCCCAAAGACATATTTTGGTTAGAAGCAAATCTATTTCTTGTGGTCAGATTGTACTCTTCTGCTCGTGTCCTGACCCTGAATAAAACAGGCAGATCAATGTCTACTGTCCTGCACATTTTCTGTCTTTCCAGCTCTGGAGCTATCACCAAATGTAATGCTGACTCAAGCACACCAGAAATGCCTCAGATGAATGTTGTATATAGCTGAAGTTATATGTTTAATAAGGAAGCCTACATGTACTTTAGAAGAGACAGAAAATACCCAAGAGAAAACCGTAAATTCTTGGATTTCTGAACAGAAATTTCTGAGCAGAAATCCAAGTGAGTCAGGAATGCAATAAAAGGACTTCAGACTTCTTCAGAAAGAAGGGAAAGACTGATAAATCAACTTGCCGTGGCAAAGGGATTGTCACATATTTCTATTTTCAACTCCACTGCAATGGAAGTGGGTAACACATCACCAATGGTCCACAAGTCACAATCCAATCAACACAGATCACTTGTGAATTTAACAGTGTACAAATACATCCTTAAAAGGGCAACTGAGCACTCAATCAGCAAGACAACATTAAGACAATGCAAAGATGAGACAATTGGAACTCCAGAAACAAAATTAAGGACATATGATTAATCCACATAATACTAGATATACCACAATTTTAAGTTCTAGGTCAAACAGCAGGATAAAAGCTAGCTTTAAAAGGAATGCTTTCAAAGAAACAAAGAGAATAGATTGTATTCAGCTAGTAAAAATTTGGGATCCTGCTGCAAAGGATAATACCCAGAATCAGAAAAAGGAGAGCAAATATACAGGACAAAACATTAACAGCTTACGTTTCACACCACTCACTCAGTAATATAAGCCATGTGTAGTACTGCAGCTAGTCCTAAAGTGTACCAAATTCAATCACTTACAGTACAGTAGGAGAACTCTTATTCTGAAGTACACTTGAGAAAACCCCATCACTCCTCTGGCAGTGAAAACAGATTTTTCCAACAAAATTCTCTTTTGTTTCTAATAAAATTATTTGAGCGTCTTTGTGACCAAGGCTGTTTTGGCAATACACAAAACAAAATACTCGTGAGGTTTCTATTAAATACTACATACACATACAATCTTATTTCAAGGGCTGCAAAGCCAGAATTTAAGCTGCCAAGAGAATGAATTTCACCTTTGACTTCACTATTCCTGGCAAGAGGCAAAGAAAGAAGAAAAGAAAGGGACAAGTTATCTTAGTTCAGGAAGAGTTACGGCATCAACCGTCAGTAGTTAGAGACTTCTGACAGACTCTGCTTGAAACCACATACTGCGTATTCACAAAGTTTGAGAAAGCTGCTCAAACAAAAGCTCTTTGGACAAATATTGAAGTGACTCCCAGAACTCTGCTTCTAAGAGCCCGTTAACCAAATATGACAGTAGCCTGCTAGTACCTCTTGAAACAGGATGTTAAAGTGTGTCAAAAAGAATCATTAAAAATATGTGCCTCTCTAAGGCTTTCATTATTTCACAAGATAAGATCTACATATATCTGGAGTGAAATTAGCCTGTCCAACTGAAAGCAGAATTCAGGTAAGCATGGAAAAAGAGATAGCTAAAATCCTTGACAGCTCAGAACATGTCTAATAAAAGCTGTGTATCTTGCTCCTGACTCACAACAGCAGCTGTTCTTCAAAGCTATGTGCATTACGGCAGAAACATTTTGTCACATATGCTCTCTTAGATGTTCAAAATATGAACCTTGTTCATATTCAAAAATTCAAAACACGAATGATTTAAAAAGAGAGACATGCTTTATGGTAAAAGTGTTTTAAAGTGAAAAATTGCTAAGTTTCTTTGATATGCTTTTAATATCAGTTATGCAAGAACTCCCTTAGGTTGGCTGGTTTGTTTTTAAATCAAGCAGAAATCTCACACTCTTTTTGACTTTCTGTTTACATGATATGAAGTTTTCAGTCTACATATACTTCACCCATAACAAAGATTCACAATCATACTGTGTCTGACTTGAGCATTATTCTGGTAGTTCATTGAAACACAGAATTCACCAGGAATTTATTCTCTTGACCCTGACTGTGTAACATGGGGCTTGCTTATCACCTCCAAATTGTCAGATACACTGAAGTGAGCACACACCTCTTTGCTGCTAAGACTTCACACCTAAACAGCCTACGTATCAGGCAAGGCTACTCAGCCTTTTAATCAGCCTCTTTGGGATACTTTTTAGCTTTAGAAAGACAACGCAGCACACTGAAAAATGAGTTCATATTTTGAACCTTTTCTTGTAATACAGAGAGCGCAACATTTGCTTTTAAATTGAGGCTAAAAATCTAAAACTCCCAATATACACATCATATCTAGGACAGCACTTTCACCACAGAAAGGATTTAAATTCAGGGGGAGAAGTTACTTAAAATAGTATGAAGTTAATTATAGTAGTGTGAACAAGACAACTATTGCATGAAAAATTACTGAAAAATCTCAGAATGGAAATTACTTTTTATACAATTCATAAAGTCAGCATCGATCCTTACTACAACTGGCTACACTCTTGTAACCAATACTGAAAGAACTAGCACCTACCTAACCCAATGCAGAAGTGTTTCAAGATCACTTCATCTATGTAAAAGATAGGATTCCTGTCAATACGCCAAAGCTGGACAGGGTGATGTAAGTAAGCAACATCTGGCTGGTGCCAAATTTAGCTTATTCAACACTTCAGAAGCTGTATATACAGAGAATAATTTGCCAAAGGGTTTTGCCCCACCTCCTCTCCCCACCCCCATTCACTTGTGTTTTGACACCTCTCCATCTCCGTTTTCAGTACAGACAATAATCTGTTATTCAAGGCAACAGGGGAAAAAAAAAACCAAACAAACAACTAGATGAACTGAGAAGTGCATCATTCAGATATTCCACAGCTTGAATCCTGTGATATAAAAACAGTTGCAGTGTAGCATGACTTGTAAGTATCACAGTATAATGCTCTCATCACACATTATAGATGACTATGTAGATTACTAGCACCAAAGCACATAGCCAACTTAGCTAGCTTAGGCCTGGTGTTATGCCTGAGACAACAACATGTCTCCAGAAACAGTACTTCAGCATGGACTAAGCTCAGTGGCTCTGCTGGGGTCAGGTCAGTTAAATTTAAACTTAATTAAATTAGTTAAATTACGCATACTTAAGTGGGGGTTGGTACTGGCTCCCTATTTCCACCCACTATGGTTTATCACAGCAGGGGCAAGATGCAAATACATGGCATGGACCTTAGCTCAGTGCAATAACCCTCCCAAGAACCCAACTGCAGGGAAGAAAGAAGAGCCTGCCTCCACAAAGCATCACAAACTGACCTAGTAAGGTCACCTGGAGCTGAGCTGAACCATATGGAACCAATGACATACTACAATACACCCCCAGGAGCGTACAGCTATAGCTGCATCCTTGCAGAAGCAGATCAGGTACAGCAAGGTTTGCTACTTCTCTCTAGCTACACCGATATGACACTTGAGCTAACAGATCTGTTGGACTCCATTTGTCCCTTCATCTGCAGCATTAATAATTCAGAACCCACCCAGTTAATTTGACTGTAAGAAACAGAACTGACACACATGTACACACTAAGTGTCTTCCTAGTAAGCATACTGCAGCTTCCTAGAAACTTGCATCAACGCACGTTGTTCTTACACTGCCATTCAGCAGTGACAGTAATTTCTATCCTACACACACCTGAGCTATGCAGTACGTTCAGATTGGCTGGGACAGCATCTTAACAGCTCATCCTTTAAAATTCTTCTAGATTTTCTTGTAGAGTAACAAAGAATTATGACTGTAAATTGATATAATTAAGCAATTGAAGTTAATTGGTTTTATTTATTACATTGTAGATAAATGTGTAAGTGGTACCCATCCACATGTTGTATTACAAGCAATGAGAACAATGCAGGGGAAAAAAAACCCAAAACAAAACAGAAACCTAAACACATTTGATTAGAGCTCAGCCATAGAGGTAACAATAAAAATCCAAAAATGCACGTCCAACACTAATTCCATGCTATCACATTTTCAAAAATCTAAGAACCCCGTGTTTCCATGTGCTTAAAAGTAATTAGATTCTCCAGCATCAGAAGACACAAATCCAAGTTCTTCAATATATCCACCTATAAAAATCAGGTTAAAAAAACAAACCATAACACTAACGTGTTAGCAACTAATTTGAAAGGCTATTAAGGAGGTAATCTGCATTTCTCTCT